GAAGGAGTGCAAACAACAGTGCTGACTGGCTCCTTGGATCACAGATGACCTCCAGTGGTTCCTTGCATAGTGGTGGAATTTTAGTTCTGAAACTTGGGTTCTTTCACTATGGCCTAGTTGTGTGTTAAACCACAGACTTTTCTCCTGTACTTCAGGGTAGGGAGTCCACACCAAGCTCTCTCAGTGATATCCCTCCACTCACCTCTGCTGGTGGAGGAGTAACCTGCTCCCAAAGTTACTATTTATGCCTCCCCTGCCATTTTGGGATTTTTAAATTTTATCTTTCTGTCCGGCATTATACAGAAAGTGTTTACTTCAGGCTCTGTGCACATAGAGGTTTGTCTTTGAAATGCTCTGTGTGTTGGTGGAGATTCAGTATTTAGATGGGAATAGGTGGATTCAGGCTCTCTCTACTCTGACATCTTCCTAAAGGAAATTTTTTTTTCAGACATCTGACTGCCTTATTTTAGAAAAGAAAGCTTTTCACCTTCTTTATGTTCCAAAAGCTGGATTTTCATAAATATTATTGATAGTATAATTTTGTATATATTGCCATTTCTTTCACTGGACAATGTATAAGTTTTTTGTGGCAGAATCTTTCTGGTGCAACCAGTTTGGAACTCTAGCATCTACTGAAGGCTTGCAATTTCTAGGGGAAATCTAGATGATAAATTGCTGTTAATTTTGGCTCTTAGCATAGTAGAAGCTACACATCCTGCATCCCCCACCTGCATGGCAGGCACCTAGCAGCTTGCACACAGATTGCAGGAGCCAAGGTGGGTGGAAAGGATTCTGTTCTCCTAATATTAGGAATCACCGTTGGTCCCTGATTGCTACTTCTGACCCTGCAGGTGCCCATAAAGAGGCAGGAAGGATTGCTGTTAGACCCCCTACATTGGTGTAAGCCCTTCTGCTTGTGGCTGAAGTGACCTTCAGAAGATTTAAAGGGACTGGTGCCTTTCCCCATCCCTTCATTTTTCTCTTGTTTCCCTTCTGTGACCACACATTAAAGTCTAGAAGACTCAAAAGTAGATGTATAGAGAGAACAAATTAGAAAGTAGCTGTGACTGCCCAGGGAGAGGCACAGGCTTAGAAGGGACATGAAGACTTAAATTTATACAAAGCTGATACAGAGGAGCCTACAACAATCAAAACATAAAACAAACAATGATAAAAAATAAAACAGCAGCCCTTAGGAAGGGGAGAATCTGCATCCCAGAGTCATTACATTATTACATTCAAGTATTCAGATCTCAACTACAACATAATCACAAGCCATAAAAAGAGACAGGAAAATGTGATCCATTCAAAACAGATCAACAGGAGGTGTCCCTGCAAAGACTTAGGCAGATCTACTAGGCAGAGACTTTAGAACAACTGTCTTAAAGTTACTAGAAGAAATAGAGGATGCTGTAGAAAAGTCAAGAAAGCAATGTATGTGCAAATTTGAAATATCAAAAATGAAATAGAAAAACCTTCAAAAAAGTACCGAGAGGAAAATTACAATAAATAAATAAATAAACAGCAAGTGCACTAGTGTTTGCAAAAATATAAAATAATTTAGCTTTTCTCTTTTTAATTACTAATAAATGTGGAATATTGCATCCAAGTTCAAAGTATCTAACATTCTTAAAAGCACATGAAATATTTACAAAATCGACTATGAGCTTAGCCTAAAGGAAGTTGCAAAAACGTTCAACAGGCTTACATTTGTGGAAATATACTTTCAATTATAATGAAATTAAGCAAGAACCATTAACAGACAAATAACTGGAAAATCACCAAATGCCTATAACCAAAATTTTATAATCCATTCACCAGCTGATTGGCATTGGATTGTCTCCAACACTGGCATTGGCATAAAATATATTTAATAGATAAAATTTAGTTTACTCAAAAAATAAAAAAATTTTCATCAATATCCACCCATGCCTCACCTTTTAATGTGATAATAAGCTATGTTTATTTATTACTTATATATTACTTATAAGTCACATATGTACACCACTAGGCACCAGAGTGAAAAATGGTTTACAATGGTTTAAAATTGTTTCTGTTAATTGGAAGCAAGGTGATGTCTTGGGCTGGTATAAACCAGCTTGGGACTTTCCATTGTTGCCTCAGGACAGTGAACTGCTGAGGATCCTGTGAAATTTGTAATTGAGTTTTTTAATCACTTATGATACTCCCCTGGGATACTTTCACTTCTGTTTTATTTAAAGAAGATTAACAGTGGTGTGTTTTATTGCTAATAATTAGTACTTTTAGAGCTCTGGTTTCCAAAGAAAATATTTTTTTTCCTTAGTTTTATTTCAATAGGTCCCATGAGTCTGTGGTAAATAGAAAATTATAAAACTGGAGCATTTTATAAGTGTACAGATGGCAATGTGGTATCTCTTTCTTGGAATAGTTGCTTAGCTTTCATCAGATATTGCCCTGAGGTTTTTAAGTTGCCATTTTTTGCTTCACTTTACTTTAACTTAAAGAATAAATTCCTATTTTAAGGTTTTGAGTAACAGCAATTATATGAACAAAATTTCACAAAATGCACCTTATCTGGAATAGAAGATGGATATCCTTTAAAGTTATTGATACCTGAGTTCTGAACTTCAAAGTGAGTATGAATTTGAGGGAACATGGAAATTCTTTACAGAAGCACAGTACATTACCTTTTCCTACAAAAAGCATTGGCAGTAAATATGCAGATTAGATACTACAATATGACCACAAAGGAAAATAACATTGTAATAAACAATAGATACAATATATCTAAGAAAATATCTCAAATGTGCATTTTCACTGAATGTCAAAATCAGAAATTAAATCAAATGCACTATAAATCCAATTCAGAGTTAAATTCGACTGCCTAATTTTCATGTTTTACAATATTTTTAAATTGTAGTCACTTTATGGTTGTGTATCAACAAGTGTTGTAATCTGTTTTATTCAGACCCAGTGGCATCTAAGTTTTATTTTCTCTGATTCTCTTTATGAATTGTTACCCTGTTTAAAGTGGTATGGGAAAAATATTGAGAAACTCTTCCCTATAATTCTAGAACAGTCTAGACACACAGGATAACAGAAATTGTATGATTGATTCCGAGAACATACCTTTTAAAATTAGATGTAGAGTAACGATGGGAATCATAGTAAGATCATCAATATATTTTATAATAAAACCTTGTGAAAACTTTGTAGCTTAAGACTGCAAATCTTCAATTGCCATTTTTAAAAAGTAGCTATTCACTAATAACTGCTTTGGAAAACCACATTAAGCATTAAAAATCTTAGTTTTATTTTTTCCGAGTGAGAAAAAGTAGTATTTATAAGAATAGCAAGAATTTATAAAAAACAAATACAAAAGATAACAAAGAGTGTTTTAGTTGCCCATTTCTTTTAAAAGTCCACAGGTAATATGTATAATGAAGTAGAGCTACATATTTAGTAACATAAAAAGGGAAGATACAATATGGAAGTAAATAGAATTCCTACATAGAGAGGATAGAGAGTAATGCAATGCTGGGGAGGAAATATTTTCCTCTGTTTCAAGATTCTTCTGGCTGGTCAAATAAATTGCCATGCAGAGGTAAACAGGGGGAACTCAAATATAACTGCATATGTGTGGGGATTCCATAAAAAGATGAAGCCCCAAATCCATCAGGCAATCAAAGCTAATCTGCCATTCTTAGGTAAGGAGTAAGGGATGGAATCTGGGACTTGAAAAGGTAAGGAGATATTTCACAGGAAGATGAAAAGGAGTAAATGTTTGGAAAATAAATGTTTTCAGGGCCATACAGGAACAATGGAACATCAAGAAGAATTTTAATGAACTGATTTTGATATATTTCTTCCTGTCTACACACCTTGTTCATACTATACTGTGGTTATCTACAGTGGTAACTCCCTTTATGGAACAGGTCCTCTGTCTAAGTTCTTGCAGGCAGTTATGGGGGATGTAAAAGGAAAAACTTGCTGAGTCTTCTGTTTCTTAAAAATAATCAGCCTAAAATAATCCTCATGCCAAAAAGGAACATTTTGGGGTGGCCAATTCTGCTCCCCATCAACATTTTTGTAGAATTCAATAGTTGTGTAAAAATATGAAAGAACTAAGAAAAAAACAATGCCTCAACTTATGTGAATACATATAAGAATCTATCTCAAAAAGGTTAATTATGACTGAAACAATATTTTTATTAAAATCATTGTTTTGTAATGATTTAATTTTTCATATATCAAGGAAATTGATAATAATGGTAATTATAAAAATTTCTATTTTATAAAAATAAAAACAAAGATAATAATTCCAAAACTATTATAAGTAGGATCTTTAATTGCTAAAAATCAACAATGCCTTAGTAATTGAACATGACAAGAATTGTTAACAAACTCTAAATCATGTTTTTGAAAAATCACCCTGATATTCATTCCAAAAAAGGCAAATAATTTAGTGTATTTTTACAGGTTGAATAAAACTGATAGAAAAATTCACTTAAAATAACCCATATTATTTTATTTAAATTATACATGCTGAGTGGATTCCTTTTGGAAGTGATGGGCAAGAATGCATATTAATCACAAGAAATATCCAAGTTCTAGAGGAAAACTAATGAGGGACATTATAATAAAGAGAACTTGGATGAGAAAGTATTTTAAATTGATTATATGTGTCATCAGCAGTTTCAAACTGGAGAAACCATTTACAAATGGATAAGTTAGAGAATGCATACCTTATTCTGCTTTAGGTGAAATGTATATATGTATTTATTAGGTTAATATACATATTTGGCTACTATATACATATACTTACTATATATTCATTTGTTTACAGGTTAATTTATGCATATTTAGGTTAATTTATCTACATTTAATCTAATTTATAGCTATATATTTACACATATTTATATTCATAGATTAATCTATATTCTACTGTATTACATTCATCAGTATGTTCAATTTTTTATCTTCTTTTTCTATGAATATTTAAAAAGAGCCACAAAAGGGAAATGAAGAACCAATCAAAAGACATAGAGTTTATTCTCCTAGGATTGACAGATGACCCACAATTGCAAATTGTGATTTTCCTGTTTCTATTTCTGAATTACACATTGAGCCTGATAGGGAACTTAACCATCATCCTCCTCACCCTTCTGGACCTTCGCCTCAAGACACCAATGTATTTCTTTCTGCGTAATTTCTCATTTTTGGAAATCCTATTCATTACAGTATGTATTCCAAGATACCTGATAACCATTATGACTGGGGAGAAATCCATTTCATACAATCTTTGTGCAGCTCAATTATTTTTTATACTTTTACTGGGAGTTACAGAGTTTTACCTTCTAACTGCCATGTCCTATGACCGCTATGTTGCCATCTGTGCACCCTTGCATTACCCAATCATTATGAACAGCAAAGTGTGCTATCAGCTTGTACTTGGCTCTTGGATAACTGGATTCCTAATAATCTTTCCTCCAATAGCCATGGGGCTCAAGCTGGATTTCTGTGCTTCCAAAATAATTGATCACTTTATGTGTGAAACATCTCCTATCCTGCAGATATCCTGCACAGACACACATGTCCTAGAATTGATGTCTTTTATCTTAGCTGTAGTGACACTTGTGGTCACATTGGTACTAGTGATTCTGTCTTACACTTACATCATTAAGACCATTCTGAAATTCCCTTCTGCACAGCAAAGGACCAAAGCTTTTTCCACCTGTACTTCCCACATGATTGTTGTCTCCATGACTTATGGTAGCTGTATCTTTATGTATATTAAGCCATCTGCCAAAGAAAGAGTAACTGTATCCAAAGGTGTGGCTTTGCTGTACACCTCAGTTGCCCCTTTACTAAATCCCTTCATTTATACCCTAAGGAACCAGCAGGTAAAAGAAGTCATCTGGGATATGTTACAAAAGATGTGGTGTTTTTCAAAACAATAGTTATAAAAAATGCTACAATGCATAACCTGCTGAATTGTGGTTTATAGGAAATATATATTTGGTCTTTGTCCACAGTTCCTGGTGCAGGGCTCCCCAAACCTTTGGATTTTCCTAAGAACTGAGAGTAATAAAGGTGTCTTGTGTTATGTTAATAGGGTGATTTCTGGGTATGCCCTAGGAATGCAGGCTGGTTGACAGAAGAACAGCCATGTGACTAGTGGATTGGAACATTCAGTCCCACCCCCAGACCTCCAGAGAGGCTGGAAGGGTTGGAGGTTGAATCAGTCAGTGACTTGGTCAATAAAAAATCTTCCATAAAAACTCAAGAGTGATTTGGCCATTTTTTTCCAAGTGCTACTGAGGTAGGCCCCAAGCAACATGATGACAGAAAGCTCCTTTGATCAGAAACTACCCCTAATGTATCTCTTCATCTGGCTGTTGATGATCTTTGTCATGTCTTTCAGTGCATTGGTAAGCATAATTGTTTCCCTGAATTCAGTGAGCTGCTGTAGCAAATTAACTGAACCTAAGGAGGTCATTGGAACTTCCAATCTGTAAGCAGTGGGTCAGAAACAGAACAATAGCCACTTTGAAGCGGGGATGGGGGCAATATTGGAGGACTGAACCCTTAACCTGTGGAATCTATACTATCTCTGGTTTGATGGACTCAAATTTGACATGGATTATCAGATACCCTGATGGTGTGTGAGCATTGCCTGGTTTCATGTTGTGTGTATGGAATCGACCCCCCATTGTTGATTGCGTTCAGGAATGTTAAAGGACAACCTTACCATAAAAGCAAAAAATAGGTTTCATGTACTTCTTCTGATAATGTTTTTCTACCTCATTACTTATCTCATATAGAAGATTCTTTCAACAAGTCTTGTAACTTAGTTCTTACATTTTATTCTTCCTGATGACATTTGACCCTGCCACAATAATTTACTTCCTCAATCTGGATCTAAATTTTAAAAAAGATTTCCCTATTGCATATTAGTTTCTGGAAACCATGGCTTTGAATAAAATATGCCTGTGTAAGTGTAGCTTGCTACATGTAATTTGTTAATTAATTAAACATATATTTATTGTGTATTTCCATTATTCCAGACATTGTGAAGGGCACAATCCTTACCTTTAAGAAACTTGCATTGCCTAAAAGAGACAAACACTAACCCCAGTATTGCTGCTCTTAATATAATCAATGATGCAATAATGGTCTATAAAATATTATGGGCCATGTTGGATGGCTCCTAGGTAATTTTGAAACCCACCTCCAGTGCCCTGTAGAAACATAATTTTCAACCAGTATGCCAAAGGTGTCGGAAGTAACATGAATAGATCTCTTGGATTTAGGCATTCATATTGGCCAGGAATTTCCAACAGTATCCTATTTTATGGTCTTAAATTGAACAAGATGCAAAATACATCTCATCTCTCCTGCTCTGTGCTCAACACCGACAACATTCTTTGGGCAGAGTCAATGATAGAGGCAATGATTTGCAACTTCTAAGACCATGACTTTGGTTGGAATCAGAGAATCTGGTTTGAATTTTCTATTACCAGTTCAGTATCACATATGACCTTTTGTTTTTTGTCTTAAGGGCAGAGAAGAAACTGGAGTCCCATTTCCCAGAGTGCCCTCTTCCTTGCATGGTTTTATATACAATTTGCCGATAAGATAACCATGTTCAAATGTGAAAATTGTAATAAAACAGAAACTAATATCCTCCAGTGGTTCTTTAAAACAGATTTAAGATCCACAGTGGCTTTTTAGCATTGAGACATACCCACTTTACTGCTAAGACTGTTGGCATATGCTTTCTCAGAAATTACTGAAAGTCGCTGCTATTTAGCAGTAAAAATATTCCTGAACCATTCTGATCAATGCTTCAAACTGAAGTCTTCAATGTCAATCTCAATATTTTAACCAGTATTTATGCTTTACTTCAATCTTTCATCATAACCTTCTACCTAAAATTATTATTCTGCTACATTGAACTTCTGCTACCCCAGCTTGTAGTATTCTTAGAAGCTGTAATACAATAGGGACCTAAGTATTAGGTTCTTCCCATTTACTTCCTTCTAGATACCTAGGCTGATCTAATAATTAAGAAGATATAATGTTACCAGTTCATTTAGATCTCAAGTTTTTTAGTCTTTTCAAAGGAAAGGATTCAATGAATTGACAGACTTAAAACAATCTTGAGCACCAGGAGTGTATTAAGCAAAGTAAATATACTGTGAGTAAAATTACAGTATTTCCAGAATCTCTCATCTGGCCATAGTGTATCTCCATAGTAATAAGTATTTCCAGGAGGTGGAGAGAAGTAGTCCATGTCCATATCAATAGGTGGTTATAAAGGGAAGCAAGGATATATCTGGACCAGAGAGGTTTCATGGGGACCTTTTGTATCTGGGTCATGAGATATAGAGTCAAACAGAAGTGGACAATGCCTTTTAAGCAATAAACAGGTTTCTCCCACTTTATTTCTCCCTCTGACTTATTTTGAATTCAAAGGTTATTTGCCCCAAATGAGAACATATTTTCCCCCCACCTGGTGGTACTGGGAAGGAACTCTGACCCTGAAATCTGTCTTCATGGGTGCAACACTTGGGCATGCTACTCCTAGAGAAAGTGGGGAGATGCTCAGAAATGTCCCTGTGGATGGCGGGGAGGCCCCAGTGGCTGCCGTGATGGGGGGTGTTGACTTACCCTTCCCTCTGGCAGTGGTGGAGGGTGCAGCTTCACCCAGGATCCCCCTATCTGTGGGACTTCCACTAGGGGAGTGCCTAGTGGGAATTAGTCTAGGGTAAAGCACCTTGTAGATGGGTGGATCCTTCCCAGAATTGGAGATGGGTGGAGACACCAGAAGCTATGGAATTAGCCCTCTGTGAGATAGAAGACTGCTTAGAGGCCCTGAGTGGGATTGTGGGATGATTGCTTCTAGAGATAGTGGAAAGGGTTATCAAGGAGAGAAGTACACTTCGGCATTCCTTGGAGGAACTGGGTAATGACTTACAGGATGTCCTTAAGAAAGAGAGACAGTTATTGAGAAGACAGGTCATGCTCCTGGAAGATATATTAGCAGTGAGGAGGGGGCAGCAGGAGAATCTGCATTGCAGAAGGCCATGGGGGTGGAGGAAGAATAGTGATGCCTTCAACCCCAAAGATGGTAAAGAAGATGTCAGGGGAGGATGAGGGGGTGGGACTGAGGGGTAAACTGTTGCTGAGGCCACTTCCTGAGACACCAGCCTCTCCTGTATTAAAGGTCAACCCAGTTGTAATTAAGAAAATAAAAACTCAAAGACCCCTCCCCAGGTTGTGGAGTACTCCATGCTCCACTCATATACCCAGGATGAGCTGGTGGACATGAGTATCCAGTTTTGGTAGAAGCCCTTGGAACCTCTGCTTACATGTCTTCCACGTGTTTGGGATATGGGGGTGGAAAACATTATAATGCTGGATTCTGAAATGGGTAGACTGGCTCCCCTGATGACTCACTCTTCCCTCTGGCAGTGGTTGCAAAGTGCCTATCACACCTCAGGGAAAGAGACTTCTGGATTGGCAAACAGCAGCCATCAGGCAGATTGGCCTAATCAGGGTAATTTATTATACTTATCCACTAGCTGGAAAACATGCAGAGCTCTAGCAGGTGTTATGGGAGCTGGGCATGAAAAATATCATCTATAATATGGACCCACAAGGCTCTGATGAGGAGTTGGTCACCACAGAAATGAGAAATCTGGTGCTCCATAAAGCTCTATCTCTCTTTGGGTCCCTATGATTATTCTTGCCCCCTACATAGGGAAACCCATAAATGAGGCTACTCATACTTTAACAGTTCTGGGGGAGGTTCAAATAATAAGAGCACAGAAAGAAGTACAGACTATGACAAAAAGGAAAGCTGCAAAGGGCCCCATGAAGGTCTTGAGGACCAAGGTATGGGTTGATTTGATAAAGTCAGGGTAGTTTAACAAAAGCTTGATGGGCAGCCTAATAGGATCTTATAAGAGGTCCAGGACATGGAAGCCATAGGCAAAGACCATGTCCAGCCTGTGTCCCTGCAAAACTTCCTGGGGGACAGCACTCAGGTTCTGCTTGGGTTCTCACCCTCACTGGAGAATGATTGGGTGTTGTTGTCTGATTTGGGGGGGGTCAAGACCCCAGCTTGGGGGATGTGGTAAATGACCCGAGGCATGTCACAGACACCTACACTGGGGCACAGATTTAAAGCAGCACAGCAGGCTTCCCACTAGCCCCTTAAGTGGAGAAGTCTGTTTATTAGAGTCAGTGACACGCATAAGTGGAATACAGGAAGAACTTGCTTTTGAGCCATTGTTAGCTGAGAGTCCTTATCAGGAGGGAAAAACCCTATACCTGAAGATGCTTGGTATACCAACAATTGTAATCATAGGCAGCCTCACAATTGGAGGGCTGTGGCTTTCCGTCCTAATACTGAAACAATACTGATGGAGGACAGGGATGGGAAGAGCAGTCAGTGGGCTGAGTTGTGGGCAGTATGCTTTGTGATCACCCAGGATCCTATACTATACTTGTCTACACTGAAAGCTGGACCATCCATCGGGGCTTGACCCTGTGGCTACTGGCATGGTACCATGCCCACTGGATGATTGGTCACTGGCCCCTTTGGGGGCAAGACTTGTGGCAAGACCTATGGGTCTCTGGTTAAACTAAGACTGTTACTGTATATAATATGACTGGCCATTTACCTTTGGATTCCCCAAGGAATGATGAAGCAGACTCTTTGGCCCAGGTGCATTGGCTAGAAGGAAAGCCTACCTCTGATGTAGCCCAATGGTTATACAGGCCAAATATATTTGGCCTTTGCCAGTATCAGAAAGGTATCAGTATGCCATGACTTCTGTGGACACAGCTACTGGACAGTTTGTTGCCTTTCCTGAACATTGTGAAGATCATCAAATGACCAAAAGGGGCCTAGAGCATCTCTTAACAGCCTATGACCAGCCACAGGTGATTG